TTTTTTGATTTAATGTAGAGATGAGGTCTCACCAAGTTGCCCAGGCGGGTCTTGAACCCGTGGGCTCAGGCAATCCACTCACTTCAGCCTTCCAAAGCGCTGGGATTACAGGCTGAGCCACCAAGCCCAGCTGATCAATTTTTTTAGGTCTCTATACCACCATATCCTTATTTACTCAGTTTTCTTGTTCCTTACATAATATATTTTCCTCTCCACAATTCATTCAATACTGACTTGGTTTACATTATGCACCAAGCATGTGTTAGATGCTAGAAATACAGCAGTAAAAAAGAGGAGCTCTCCCCTCAAAAAATGCAACGTGTTTTTATAATGATTTTAGGATAGGCTCAAAAGGCTTGCTAAAGATTAAGTTGGAATACATTTACTACTGGATTAAGAAACCCAGAATCCTAACTGGGGTCTAGTAGGTGAAATTTTGTGCCTGTTGAAAAGGACTTCAGGTGTATGGTCCAACTTCTTAACCCATGTAATGACTGCTTCTGTAGTGGTCAAACAGAAATACCCCAGGTCTGCTTGTTCTTGTTTTTAGTGATGGGGATTGCTCGCTATGGCCTGCCTCATTCAGCAAATACTTGCTGAGAGCCTACCATGTCATGTGTTACTGCAATAAATAACTAGAAGCTAGAGAGACTTAATAATTCTTTCTCGCACTGAGCAGAAATGTCTTCCTGTGTTTGTCTCCACTGCTTCTACTACACAATACAGAACAAATTCCCTCCTAAAATTTAGTTCTCAGACATCTGAAACTATCCTATTTCCCCTTATGTCATCTTTATGCTAAACTCACCTGACTCGCTCAGTGTAGTATAACAGGGTTAAGAGCACAAAATCCAAAATCAGATAAGACTCGGGTTCAAATCTTAGCTCTGCCAAGAATTGACTATGCTGCTCTGGGCGTCCTGAGCTCCTGTTCTCCTTATCCATTAAGTGGGGATGACAAGAGCTCACAATAACGCTCTCAATAAATGGCACTCCCCAATATTACAATCGTTAGTGGTAGCAGAGGCAGCAATGGTAAGTCATTGCCATTAATGAATCTATTCTCTACAACATCCAGTCTTTATAAATTCCTATTACCCACGTCTCTCTGCTCTTTTTTAGCTGTTTGAAAAATACATGTAGCTTTTACCTTTCCCCAAAACATCTTCACATCAATGCTGAGTTAGTTTTGCTTTTTATTTCCTAAAGTCAACTCTTTCACCTTAAAAGGCATGCTGACCTTTTTAAGTATTTAAAGCAAAACTAGGCAATCGTCTTAATTCCCAAGTTGGATGCCGGGTGCAGTGGCTCAAGCCTGTAATCCCAGCATTTTGAGAGGCCAAGGCGAGAGGACTGCCTGAGTCCAGGGGTTTGAGACCAGACTGGGCAACTTGACAAGACTTTTTCTCCACAATAAACCAAAAAATTAACCAGGCGTGGTAGCATGTGCCTATAGTTCCAGCTATTAGAAGGCTGAGGTGGAAGGACTGCCTGAGGCTGCAGTGGCTGTGAGCGTGCCACTGCACGCCAGCCTGGGCAACAGAGTGAGACTCTAACTCAAAAAAATTAAAATTAAAAATAAAAATAAAAAAAAGAAACTAGAAAGTAAGGCCGAATTATTTTTCAAAGGGCCTGATTAAATGTACAGTCCTTCAGTAGTAATGAAAGTTCTGGCCAGGCTCAGGGGTTCACACTATAATCCCAGCACTTTGGGAGGCCAAGGAGAGATGATTGCTTGAGCCCAGGAGTTCCAGACCAGCCTGGGCAACATAGTGAGACCTTGTCTCTACAAAAAAAAATTTTTTTTTAAATTAGCCAGGGGTTGTGGTGCACACCTGTAGTCCCAGCTATTCAGGAGGCAGAGGTGAAAGGATCACCTGAGCTCAGGAGGTCAAGGCTGCTATGAGCCATGATCGTGCCATGACACTCCAACTTGGGTGACAAGGTGAGACCCTGACTCAAAAAAAAAGAAAGTTCTGTGCTTCTATGACCATCTTTGTAAAAATTAAAATCTGATATCTATGAAATAATATTTTTTTTTTTTTTTTTGAGTTGGAGTCTCACTCCTTCGCCCAGGTTAAAGTGCAGTGGCACGCATGCTCATGGCCACCCCAGCATCGAATTGCTGGGCTCCAGCAATCCTTCCCCCTCAGCCTTCCAAGTAGTGAAACAGTATTTCACTGTGGTTTTAACTTACAATGTACGAATGACTTAAGCAACTTTTCATATTTTTACAAGGCATATTTCCCCTTCTGTGAAATTCCTTGTCTTTTGCCCATTTTAGACTGGTTTGTTCTTTTTTCTTTTTTTTTTTTTTTTGAGTTGGAGTCTCACTCTGTCGCCCAGGCTGAAGTACAGTGGCATGCTCACAGCCAGTGGAGCCTTGTCTGCTGGTCTCAGGCAATCCTTCCACCTCAGCCTCCCTGAACTGGAACTACAGTACCTGGAACTACAGGTATGTGCCACCACACCTGGCTAATTTTTATTTATTTATTTATTGTAGAGACGAGGTCACGCCAACTTGCCCAGGTTGGTCTCGAACCCCTGGGCTCAGGTAATCCTCTTGCCTCTGACTTCCAAAGTGCTAGGATTACAGGCATGAGCTACCATACCCAGCCTGTTCTTTTCTTTTTGATAATTCTGGATATTAATCTCTGTTGGCTCCATGTGGGCAAAATTTTTTAGGTTATGGATTTTATTTTTACTGTCTTTAAGGTGCCTTTTAAAATGATGGAAAATGTGTTCATTTTAGATGTAGACAAATCTACCCATCTATTTTACAATAGGTGCTTTTTGTGTCTTAAGATATCTTTCCTTAGGTCACAGGTTAAAGGACTATTGTTTTTCACCTATGATGGTCCTAAAATTTTTTAAGTATTACCTTTCACATTTAACCCTTCATTCACTGGAATTACCTCGTGAGTATGTACAGCATAGGATAGAAATCCATCATAATTTTCCAATTGTGATTTTTTTCAACCCAAGTATACCAGTACCAATCACTGCCTAGTCATCCGTCCCTTCCCTGCTTAATTGCGATGCCAACTCTTTTATTCTTTTTTTTTCTTTCTTTCTTTTTATTTTTATTTTTCTACAGATTAAAAAAAATTGTATTATAAAGATGTGGGGTACAATTCAGGGTTAGGTATACAAACATTGATCATGCAGGTACCCCCCAACTCTTTTATATATTTGGTTTCAATGCATGTAGTTCTGGTTCTGAGCTTTCCATGTTGTCCCACTAGCCAATTTGTATCTTCCTTTGCCCAAAACATGTTAATTACCATAACTTTATATTAAGTTTGACATCTAGTTTTAAAAATATCTCCTTGCCTTGTTCTTCTTCAGGAGTGTCTTAGCTATTCTTGGACTTTTGCTACGTCATATAAATTTTAGAAGCAAGCTATCAGGATCCATGTTAAAAAAATTACATAGCCATTTTTAGTCAATCATTTCCTTTTTCTTTATCTATAGATACATATACACATATTTCATGCAGCTGTAAACAGTATACATTTCATAGTTTATCATTTCTAATAATTAGTGTTTTTATTTTTCAAGTTTTCACATGTTTTGCAAGGTCTTTATATTTGTTTTTCATAGTATACAACATTTCCTCAAATTGATGTTGAATAACAGACATTTCCTACCTATTGCTGGATATCCGGAGTCTTAAAATTGTTTCATTATTAGTAATCCTGTAATTAATAGATTTGTACATCATCCTTTCTTCTTTGACCTATTTCCTTAAGATATATTTCCAACTGTAAACTTAATAGATCTGCACACTTTAATCTTTTTTTTTTCCCCTTGAGTTGGAGTCTCACTGTCGCCCAGACTGGAGTGCAGTGGCCGCTCCTGGCCACCGCAGCCTCGACCTGCTGGGCTCCGGCAATCCTTCCGCCTCAGCCTTCCAAGTAGCTGGAACTACAGGCGTGCGCTACCACGCTCGGCTAATTTTTTATTTATTGTAGAGATGAGGTCTCGCCAAGTTGCCCAGGTGGGTCACTTTAATCTTAAAAGCTTAAAATATTCAATTCTCTGAGTCTGAAGCAAAAAGGAGAAAGAGCAAAAATACAGACATCAAGTAAAAAGAGGAAGATACATTTCAATGTCAGTTTCCTCAGCAGTCCTTCCCCAGCAGACTAGTACTGCTTTCCCTGAGTCTCTTCCCATACATCTACTGCTTATTCTCTATGTACAAGGAATGAGACTCGCCTGCTAATCTTCAGGTCACTCACTGTATACCAAACATGGCCCAACTCAGTATCTCTAGCAGAGGCTGCTATCGTGTTTTCAAAACTTCACAACAGTCGACTCCAGACCGCCATCTCAAGGATTAACATTCCTGGGAATCTAGACTGGAGGTGACCCAAGCACCTGTCAGGTTCAATAGATGTTAAGCCCTGACAACACTCCACTAACAGCAGGATAAAGAGGCCAAGTCATCAGTTAAGTGCCACCAAAAGAGGAAGCTCAGTCCACTGTACTAACTGGGCCACCCTGTCTTTCCCCCCTTCTCCCTACAAAGGCTTCTCTAAGTCCAGTGCACTCTTAAGACAAAGATATAATTCAGACAATCATTTCCAATCCTCTAACACCTGTTAGCACTTTTAAATCCCTTTAGCAGAAAATCCCTATGACCCTTTTTCAAAGAAAGGGCAGAATGACCCATTAGCACTTTTTTTATTGCACGGATAATGTTAATATTTGCTTTTTTTGTTAAGTGTCTACATGATAACATCTAAATTGTAAACTAGAAATAGATGCCACAATAGTAAAAGAAAACAAAACATAAACATTTCTCCCTCAAAGACTCTCTAGTTCCAGTTTATAAGATATAGGAAGTATTTTTAGTAACTTGCATTTCCTTTTATTCACTATCAAGACCCAAACAAGCCGGGATCGGTAGCTCAGCCTGTAATCCCGCACCTTGGGAGGCTGAGGTGAGTGGACTGCCTGAGCCCACGGGTTCGAAACCCGCCTGGGTAACTTGGCGAGACTTCATCTCTACAATAAGTCAAAAAAATTAGCCGGGCGTGGTAGTGTGCGCCTGTAGTTCCAGCTACTTGGAAGGCTGAGGTGGAAGGATCGCCGGAGCCCAGCAGGTCAAGGCTACGGTGACCAGGAGCGGCCACTGCACTCCAGTCTGGGTGACAGAGTGAGACTCCAACTCAAAAAAAAAAAAAAAAAAAAAAAAAAGACCCAAGCAGATAATTTACAGAAGAGTGAACGCTTAACTAATGTCTTAATTCTGCCAATGCTAAACAATTAAGAGGAAAATAAAATCAAGCAATTTAACCAATTCAAATTTATTTAAAAAGCCTTCGTAATAGGACTAGTGATAAACAGCATTTTAAAACCTATAAAGAACGCAAACTTGTTGTTAAAGCCAGAGATTACACTTCTTATTACTGCTGTAACATTTTCATGGAACTAATTTTTTAGGCAACTATTTAGCATTAAATCTCCACTGGAGCATTCTGTCAAACATAATTAGATGACAGAGGGCAGCAATTTTCTTGCAGACACTAGGAAGAGAGCTGGGACTTGTGCTAGGCTAACTGGACGCACTAATCAAATATCAAAAGTCCCCAGCAAGCTCTTGTTCATAATTTTACTACGGTAACTTCAGTTCAGCCGGGGATTTCATTTAGTCGTTCACCCAACATGAGTTTTCTACATGCCATGCCTACACTGTGCAAGGCACAGTTCCTGGTGCAACACCCAAAACACAGGCTCTCCGCATGGAGCTTAGTTACTGGGGGAGAGACAGACAACAAGTAAATGTACAGAATAGATGATGGTAATGGCTACAGGGAATAAAGCAGGGGTAAGATTTTATATAGCATGAAAGTGTGCTGCATGCACAAGCACAACATGGTCACGTGTGCATTTTGAAATGTTCACTTAAACATGAAATGTTCACTTAAACGGAAACATGGGGAACAGATGGAAGGAAGGCAATACAGTCTCTCTGGCAGAGACCGATATCAAGTCCCAGAAGTACAATGCCTGATCACAAGGATAAGCTCCAAATCATCACCACAGGTTTAATCAGGAGATTTAACATTCCTCTGAGTCCAGAATGGAGCTTAACTAGGCACCACTGATTATGAGTATAGGAGGACTGACAGAATTACGACTTCTTCTACAGACATCTGTATAAGGTACACTTGACACAAATAAGCAGGCACTATAATAACTTTAAATATCAGCCGGGCATGGTAGCTCATGCCTGTAACCCCAGAACTTTGGGAGGCTGAGGTGAGAGAATTTCCAGAGCCTAGGGGTTTGTGACCAGCATGGGCAACATGGCGAGACCTCGTCTCTTAAAAAAAAAAAAATTAAATATCCATACAATAAATTAAATTTTGCCGGGCTTGGTGGCTCAGCCTGTAATCCCATGCCTTGGGAGGCTGAGGTGAGCGGACTGCCTGAGCCCACGGGTTCGAGACCCGCCTGGCCAACTTGGTGAGACCTCATCTCTACAATAAATCAAAAAATTAGCCGGGTGTGGTAGCGTGCACCCGTAGTTCCAGCTATTCAGAAGGCCGAGGTGGAAGGATCGCTGGAGCCTAGCAGGTCAAGGCTGCGGTGGCCAGGAGTGGCCACTGCACTCCAGTCTGGGCGACAGAGTGAGACTCCAACTCAAAAATAAAAATGAAAAATGAAAAAATAAAAAATAAGCCGGGTTCGGTGGCTCAGCCTGTAATCTCGCGCCTTTGGGAGGCTGAGGTGAGTGGATTGCCTGAGCCCACGGGTTCGAGACCCACCTGGGCAACTTGGCAAGACCTCATTTCTACAATAAATCAAAATGAGTCGGGCGCGGCTACTTGGAAGGCTGAGGCGGAAGGATTATCGGAGCCCAGCAGGTCGAGGCTGCAGTAGCCGGGAGTGGCCACTGCACTCCAGTCTGGGTGACAGAGTGAGACTCCAACTCAAAAAAAAATAAAAAATAAAAAATAAATTAAATTTGAAAAACATAAGATTGGAACAAGTTTTAAAGCCAAAGCAAGGAAGCAGTTCAAAGAAAAAAGCTATGTCTACAAAAGAGCAAAGGGGAAAAAAGAAACCTACCAATGTATTGGGAGCCTAAGAAGGTAGGAAGGGTGGAATTCTAAGCCAGAAGAGCGAAGTTTGGCCAGTGGTAAGAGGCAGGACATTATAACAGGTGGACAGGGGTATAGAATGGCTACAAGTGCCAGCAAGAGTGTCCATTTTTTTCTGTAACATGATGAGGTCATCTGATGGGAGAAGGAGATCAGGAGTTTCAAAGACAACAGAGAAAGCATAAACATTAGCAAGCTTGTAAGAGAGGTGACATATCGTTTACCATGCAGTGTCATGGGTCCATTTGACATCAGAGTTGTACGTCTATGGAGAAAACTAACAGGCTCTGTTTTGAGGTTCTCTGTAGCAGTTCTGGCCACTCATATACAGGGAGGTAAAGTATAGGAATGAAAAAGAGTGGGAGTTTTTTGAGGATTTTTTTGGTTGTTTTTTTTTGAATAGGAGTCTCACTCTGTCGCCCAGGCTGGAGTACAGTGTCAAGCTCATGGACACCGCAGCCTTGACCTGCTGGGTTCCTGCAATCCTTCCACCCTAGCCTTCCAAGTAGCTGGAACTACAGGTGTACGTCATCATGCCCAGCTAATTTTTTGATTTCTTGTAGAGACAAGGTCTCTCCATGTTGCCTAGGCTGGTCTTGAACCCCTGGGCTCAGGCAATCCTCTCGCCTCAGCCTCCCAAAGTGCTGGAATTACAGGCATCAGCCACCATGTCGAGTTAAGAAAAGAGTGTTACTGAAATGACAGACCAAGTTGGACAAAACAGGGAATGAATAAAAGGCTGATGGCCTGGGATGAAAAAGGGACCATCCACAAGAGCAGAACTCATGTCGTTCCCCAACATAACCCCACATTTAGAACAGTGCTTGATACTGAGAAAGCAGGTACCCAGGAATATTAGGTGCAAGAATGAATTGTAGAAAAGAGAGGGTCTGATAATGCTGAAAAATGGTTAAAACCATAATAGCTAAAGAATAAGTGTGAGATGGAAGACTTTGATCAGAGTCAGAAAGAAAATATCTTTCTGAAAAAAAATCTTAGAAACTTCCTATACTTTTGTTAAACATTCATTTACTAGGTTAGCATGCAAGAAATAAGTCTTAAAGAACTATTATTTGTATAACTTTTAACTCAAACTAGCTGATTCTCAGATTATTATACTCCATATAATATTAAACTGTCAAGAATCAGAAGACAAGGTGCTACAAGACTTACTGAGGCTCAGTCTGCTTCTCTCTTCTCCTAAATGGAAAGGGGTGATGCCATACATATAATATTCCATTTATCATTCAGTTACTACCTCATTTAATACTCACTGTGATATGATTGTAGATTAGCTGAGACCACCCAAAGAGATCTGCTAGTCTGTAAAATGCTGCCAATTTACACCGCAGTAACTTTTCCCCTTTGTCATACGCAATCGAATCTGATCCTCTAAGGTCGTTCACAGGAGTTACCATACCAAGACCTGAAAGAAAGAAAAACAAAACTCAGTCAGATGCATTGGTGCACGCCTACAGTCCTAGCTACTCAGAAAGCTGAGGTGGAAGAGTGGCTTGAGGCCAGGAGTTAGAGTTAGAGTTATGGTGCCTGTGAATAGTCACTGCATTCCAACCTGGGCAACACAGTGAGACCTTATTCTCTTCTGAAAAACACTCAAATATTAATGTTTATTATCAAATGTAAATCAAATAATAACGATTATATTTTTCCACACTAGGTCATAAAATAAGTCTCAAAAACTTCAAAGACGATTTCATAGACCATGATCTCCAACATTAATATAAGTAAGGCTGGACACAGTGGCTCATGCCTGTAATCCCAGCTCTTTGGGAAGCTGCAGTTGAGGATTCCTTGAGCCCAGGAGTTTAAGACCAGTCTGGGCAACATAGCAAGACCTCGTCTCTATAAAAACAAAAAAATTAGAGGGCATGTTGGTGCACACCTGTGGTCCCAGCAACCTGGGAGGCTGAGGTGGAAGGACTGCCAGAGCCAAGGTGGTTGAGGCTGTGGTGAGCCATGATTGTGACACTGCACTCCAACTCAGGTGACAGAATGAAACTAAAAAAAAAACCCAATTAAGTTGGAAATCAGTAACAAAAAGTTAGCAAAATTAGTGGAATGCAGTAAAGTATGCTTAGAAGGAAAATTATAGTATCAAACATAAGAATTAGAAAAATATTTTTAAAGATTTTTTTTAGTTAAACCAAAAACTGATTCTTTGAGATTAAAAATAAAATAAAAATAATAAAAATAAACATCTAGCCAGACATAACAATAAAAAAAGGAGACAGAAATAAAAAAATATGAAGAAGTGGAAAGAAGACATCCTACACATCCTACAAACATTAAAAGAAAAGTAAAGTTATAGCCGGGCTCGGTGGCTCAGGCTGTAATCCCACGCTTTTGGGAGGCTGAGGTGAGTGGATTGCCTGAGCCTGCAGGTTCGAAACCTGCCTGGGCAGCAAGACCTCATCTCTACAATAAATAAAAAAATCAGCCGGGCATGGTAGCGCATGCCTGTAATTCCAGCTACTTGGAAGGCTGAGGCGGAAGGATCGCCGGAGCCCAGCAGGTCGAGGCTGCGGTGGCTGGGAGCGGCCACTGCACTCCAGTCTGGACTACAGAGTGAGACTCCAACTCAAAAAAAACAAAAAGAGTAAAGTCATAATATGAACAACTATACCAGCAAATTATTTAACCTACATGAAACAGATTCTTTAGAAGGTAAAAGCTACCAACGTTCACTCCAGAATAAACATTATCCCGGATAGCTCTATTTCTAGTCAGCTAAATTTACAGTTAAAAACATTCTCACAAAGAAAACTCTTAGGCCCAGATGACTTCACTGTAAATTCTGTCAAACATTTAAGGAAGTAATAATACCAATTCTGCATAGAGTCTTTCAGAAAATTCTACATAAACTCCTTCTGAACTTTCCAACTTATTCTGTGAGACCCAGCATTACCTTGATATCCAAACCACACAAAGACATTACAACAAATTACACATTACAAGGAAAACAGATCAGTATCTCTCATAAGCACAGGCTAAAAAGTATATAATAAAATTTAAGTAAATAATCCAGCAAAAATAGGCATCATGACCAACAGCAATTATCTCAAGAATACAAGATTAGGGTCAGCATTCAAAAACCAATAAACATAATCCAATAATCCACCATATCAAACTAAAGAAAATCATGTGACCGTTTTCATAGATGGAGAAGAAGCATTTCACAAAATGCAACATCCATTCAGGATAAAAGCTCTTGATAAATTAGAAATAGAAAGAAATGTCCTCAATTCAATAAAGAATATCTTTAAAAAATCTACCACTAACATCAGCACAATGATGAAAGACAAAGTAAGGAAATATATTCTAGCACTCTTACTGAATACTGTATTGAGGGTTCTATCCAGTGCCATAAAGCAAAACAAAAAAAACACATTGAGAAAGAAGAAAAAAAGGATTTGACTGCATGACCCCACTTGGTCATAACATATTTATCTTCTAGGTTTGATGCTTTTTTTTTTTTTTTGAGTCGGAGTCTCACTCTGTCACCCAGACTGGAGTGCAATGGCACACTCATGACCACCCCAGCATCAACCTGCTGAGCTCCAGCAATTCTTCCGCCTCAACCTTTCTAGTACTCGGAACTACAAGTGTGTGCTACCACACCCGGTTAATTTTTGATTTATTGTAGAGACGAGGTCTCACCAAGTTGCCTGAACTGGTCTCGAACCCGGTAGCTCAGGCAATTCACTCACCTGGGCCTCCCAAAGTGCTGGAATTACAGGCTGAGCCACCGAGTCCAGCTGATTCTTTTCTTTTAAAATATGAAATATTTCAGACAAATAGAAAAATACAGAGAACAATACAAACAGCCACATATCCACCATCTTGATTCAATACTTGTCAATCTTCTACTTCAGATTGTTTCTTTTAAATTGTTTTCTAGAAGATTTTCAGAAGATGCTAGTAGGGACAGCATAGTTTTTGGATCTTCCCAAACCCTTCTCCCAACTTCACACAAAAAAAATTAACTAGAAAACCAGAGGCCAGGGCCGGGCGCAGTGGATCACACCTATAATCCCAGCACTTTGGAAGGCCGAAGTGAGAGGACTGCCTGACCCACCAGTTCAAGACCAGCCTGGACAACTTAGCAAGACCTCATCTCTACAATAAATCAAGAAAAATTAGCAGGGCTTGGTGGCATCTGCCTATAGTTTCAGCTACTTAGAAGGTTGAAGTAGAAGGATTGCCTGAGTCCAGCAGGTCAAGGCTGCAGTGGCTGTGAGCGTGCCAACTGTCCTCTAGCCTGGGCGACAGAGTGAGACTCCGACTCAAAAAAAAAAAAAAAAAAAAAAGGAAAGCAGAGGCCAGGCACAGTGGCTCCTACTTGTAATCCCAGCACTTTGGGAGGCCAACACAGGAGGATCACTTGAGGCCAGGAGCTCAAGACCAGCCTGGGCAACACAGCAAGACCTCTGTCTCTCTCTCTCTCTCTCTCTCTCTCTCTCTTTTTTTTTTTTAAATCTTATTTTATTTTTTAGCACTAACCTTTACCTCATCATAACAAATAGTCACTATATTGTACTGAAAATAGAAACAGGTGTTTCTTTCTTTTTTTTTTTTTTTAATAAAGCAAGAGCTTATTAAGACAAAAGAGTTCCCAAGCAGATGAGAGCCCGAAACACGGCTGCCCAACCTCTGTCTCTTAAAAAATAAATAAAATTAAAATTAAAAATGAAATGAAATAAAATAAAATAACCCCTGTCTGGCTGGGCATAGTAGCTCACGCCTATAATCCTAGCACCTGACTTTAGCCCAGTAGTTCAAGACCAGACTGAGCAATATTGCAAGATCCTATCTCTATTCATTAAAAAATGAGGGGGATAAAAAAAGAAAGAAAGAAAATCAGCTGTAGTGGTTGCTTTCCACAGTCTCAGCTACTCAGCAGGCTGGGACAGGCAGATTACTTGAGGCCAGGGTTTTGAGGCTGTTATGTGTCATGTCACAGCACAACAGCCTGGGTAGAAGAGTAAGAACATATCTCTTTTTTTAAAAAAAAACTTTTTTAATTAGAGCAACTAAGGTAACAAAACTAAAAATTCAAGAATGATACCTACAACAAAACTAGGTAACAAGGTGGAATCACAAAACTAAAAATGTTAAGTAGGTATGGGTAACAAAGATAGAGTATATAACGTCATCATCTGTCCAGGAGGACACAGAGGAAAGTCATGAACTATTTGCCAGGTTTGAGACTTCCAAAAGAACCAATAAAAATTCACTAGAAAGTTCAAGGGGTCAATGAGCAGTTCTGCACATTTTAATACTTACAAATGTTCCAAACTCACCATCCAAAACTCCCTTCCAGGACAAAAACCTCATCCTGAGAAGTTTATGGAAATAAGAATCCAGCCGGGCACAGCTAAGCCTGTATAATCCTTGCACTTTGGGAGGCCAAGATGAGAGAACTGCCTGAAACCAGGGGTTCAAGACCAGCCTGGGCAACTTGGTGAAACCTCATCTCTACAATAAATAAAAAAATTAACCAGATGTGGTAGTGCGTGCCTATAGTTCTAGCTACTTGGAAGGCTAAGGTGGAAGGATCGCCTGAGCCCAGCAGGTCAAGGCTGCAGTAGCCATGATCAGTGTGCCACTGCACTTCAGCATGGGCAACAGAGTGAGACTCTGACTTAAAGAAAAAAAAAAAAAAGGAATCCAAACTGAGCAGCACCGGAATATCTAGAAAAGTTAAAAAAAAAAAAGTATAAGCTGGGCGCATTGGTTCATACCTATAACCCCAACAACTAGGGAGGCTGAGGGGAAGGATCACTTGAGCCCAGAAGTTCAAAACCAGTTTGAACAACACAGCAAGGTACTGTTTAAAAAACAATTTAAAAATCAGCTGGGCATGGTGAAGCATGCCTGTAGTCCCGCTACTTGGGAGGCTGAAGTGGAAGGATCTCCTGAACCTAGGAGTTCAAGGTTGCAGTGAGTTAAGACTACACCACATCCAGCCTGGAAACAGAGTCCCAAACTCTAAAAAAAGAAAAAAGTCCACAAGGAAAGGAAAGAAACAAAACCAGATTTCATTAAATAAGCTGCCATATTTTTTAGTAATTCACAGAGACAACAGAAGAGGGGGCCCTAAAACCATAGTATTGAAAAGCATTCCTGAAAACTCTTCCTTTTTTTGAGTCAGAGTCTCACTCTGTCACCCAGGCTGGAGTGCAGTGGCATACCCATGGCAACCACAGCCTCAACCTGCTGGGTTCAGGCAATTCTTCCACCTCAGCCTTCCAAGTAGCTGGAACAACAGACACAAACCACCATATCCAGCTAATTTTTTGATTTATTGTAGAAATGAGGTCTTGTCAAGTTGCCCAGGCTGGTCTCAAACGCTCGGCTCAGGCAATCCTTTCACCTCTGCCTCCCAAAGTGCTGGGATTACAGGAGTGAGCCACCATGCTCAGCCTAAGAAAACTAATTTCATATAAAAACTAACAGAGGTCAGGCTCGGTGGCTCAATCTGTAATCCCAGCCCCACTTTGGGAGGCTGAGATGAGTGGATTACCTGAGCCTGCAGGTTTGAGACCAGCCTGGGTAACTCTTGGCAAGACCTCATCTCTACAATAAATTTTTAAAAATTAGCCAGGCATGGTAGCATGTGCCTGTAGATCCGGCTAACTGGAAGGCTGAGGCAGAAGGATCGCTGGAGCCCAGCAGGTCGACGCTCAGGTGGCTGTGAGTGTGCCACTACACTACAGCCTGCATGACAGAGTGAAACTCCAACTCAAAAAAAAAAATTAACAGAAAAATATCATGATTGAATATATCATATAAAGTTTATTGCAAGAATAAAATAATGAAACAGAATAACACCTTCACTAAAAACAAAAGCCGAAGAGAAAGACAGGTCACAAAACAGCTGAAACCTATTATGTCAAAAAAAGTTAAAGACATTAAGAAAATAAGAGGCTGGGCATGGTTATAAATCAAAAAATTAGCTGGGCGTGGTGGCACATGCCTGTAGTTCCAGTTACTTGGAAGACTGATATGGAAGGATTGCCTGAGCCCAGCAGGTCAAGGCTGCAGTAGCCGTGAGCATGCCACTGCACTCTAGCCTGGGCAACAGAGTGAGATTTCAACTCAAAAAAAAAAAAAGAAAGAAAATATTGCTGAAATTTAAAAATATGGAAGGACACATCTGAAATTAACTCAGAATGACCAAAACTTAGCCATACTTTGGTAAAACTGCTAGTCTCTAAAGAAAAATATTTTGAGCATCCAGGAAGAGAGTCACTGACATAAGATTGACTTCAAATTGTAATGGCAATGCTTTGGGCCAGAGGAAAATGAATTACGTATTTAATTTACATAAAAAGAAACATATGAGCCAAGGATACTCAAACTAACCAAATCAAATTAACACAGTAACATATAAAGGACACAGTATGCAAGAACTCAGAGCATATCATTCCCACAAGTGTATTCCAAGATGTCTACTAAAAGAAACTTCAGACAACAAAAATGACTAAGGAAACACGACATAAGAACTGGTGGAAAGCACTAAATATACATTTACTACAGAATTAAGTTTTTAGTTCTAACACTAAATGAGTGTGACGAGGGGGAGATAATGATATGTGCCAGTAAGTGCTCTGACAATATAAGAACACAACTATTTTATTTATTTATTTATTATTTTGAGTCAGAGTCTCACTCTGTTGCCCAGGCTGAAGTGCAATGGCACACTCACAGCCACTCCAGCATCAACCTGCTGGGCTCAGGCGATCCTTCTGCCTCAGCCTTCCAAGTAGCTGGAACTACAAGTGTGCACTACCACGCCTGGCTAATTTTTTTATATATTCTAGAGACGAGGTTTCACCAAGTTGCCCAGGCTGGTCTCAAACCCCTGGACTCAGGCAATAATATTGCCTCAGCCTCCCAAAGTGCTGGGATTATAGGCTTGAGTCACTGCGCCCAGCCGAGCACAACTATTTTATTTTACTTTATTTATTTTTTGAGTTGGAGTCTCACTCTGTCACCCAGACTGGAGTGCAGTGGCTGCTCCCGGCCACCGCAGCCTCGACCTGCTGGGCTCTGGCAATCCTTCTGCCTCAGCCTTCCAAGTAGCTGGAACTACAGGCACGTGCTGCAACGCCCAGTTAATTTTTTTGATTTTATTGTAGAGATGAGGTCTCACCAAGTTGCCCAGGCGGGTCTCGAACCCGTGGACTCAGGCAATCCACTCACCTCAGCCTCCCAAGGTGTGGGATTACAGACTGAGCCAGCGAGCCTGGCTTAGCACAACTATTTTAAAACATGAGGAGAGAACGGAAAAAAATATACTGTTGGTAAAATATTAGTATTGCATGTAATTATAATGTAGAAGAAAGCAAATGAATAATTGTAAAATGGTCAAGCTTCTAGATGCAACTACCAATTTACCGTAAATACAGTAGACAAAAGAACATGTTAGCAGTACTGTGAACTGGAATCAGCAATATTCAGACTATGGGAAACTGCAAGTCAACAAACCAATTTTCTTCAAACAAACATAAAAGAAAAAAAGAGCAACAGAGGGGTAACTTGTGGTTTAAAAAAGGTACAAGAGACAGTAAGTAAAAATAGACAAAAACTAAGTCACAAAATTTAGGGATGCCTGTTTTGGTAATAAAACTATAAAGAAAAGCAAAGGAGTAGCCAGGTGCAGGCTCACGTCTGTATTACCAGCACTTTGGGAGGCAGAGGTGAGAGGATTGCCTGAGTCCAGGGGTTCGAGACCAGCCCGGGCAACTTGGTGAGACCTTGTCTCTACAATAAATCAAAAAATTAGCTAGGCGTGATGGTACATGCCTCTAGTTCCAGCTACTTGGAAGGCTGAGGTGGAAGGATTGCCTAAGCCCAGCAGGTCAAGGCTGCAGTGGCTGTGAGCATGCCACTGCA